ACATGGATGCATACGTTTATCTTTATCGAGAGATTAACTCACTCACTTCAGAAGATAAATCATCACACACCCATCTGCTGCTAATAGTCTTTTGCAATGAGACGAAATACGGAATAATATGTCACTTCTTATTCCTCTTGGTTTTGTGGGCTATTTACGAAGAATTTATTACTGGCTTAAATAGAGTAAATCTCAGACTTACTGAAGTCATATTTCATCACAGACATCAACACTGGGGACCGAGTGGAACCTGAGAGTTACCAATGGGAAGTGAGTACTGGAGATGGCAGTGGTGAATGGCTTCGGGGTTTCAGCGACCGTCAACCGGCGGAAGTTGTCAGCGGATGGTCAAACAATCAGTTGTTACTGGAATCCCTCAGACTCGCAGAAGGTACCACAGCTCTCCAAACGACCTACGAGTTTAGATGTACCGTCGCACACAACGCAACGTTTGATACTACTTCTAGGCCGTTCGTAATGAGTGTCCGAAGTGAGTTTATTGCGTGAATTTTGCCGTTTCATTGTTATTTGTTTGTGTGAAAGCAAAGGAGGTAGAAGGTACCTGGAAAATACAGCATTATTATCAGATTGTCACAAATTATAATTGAATGAAGTAACTAACGCACTTTTGTCAGTCATTTCGAACTGAGGCTATTCAGGAAGACTTGAAGCCTGTTTAGTGTTTAATGAGTCATCATCTAATGGATACTTTATCTCTATCCTCCGTCGTGCCTAGATATAGCTGACCGACTCACATAATAGTCTACAAAGACTCGCAAATAAACAGATGGCAAATAGACTCGCAAAGTAGATAGATCTCACAGATATCGTCGTAGGAAGCTTGTTCTAAACAGAGTTTCTCGCAACCTTTCAGTAGAATATAACCTGACCTCTGTATTTGTGGAAAAAATTGGGGAACAGAGTTAATCCTTAGGATCACATTCAGGAAACAAACATTAATGTACCAGTTGGTAAATGGGTCTGCGATACCAAAATGTTACATATTTTATTAAAAGTTCCCGTCACGTATGTTATTCAATTTTGCAGTTGTAACGATTACACACTCGCTTTGGAGTTTTTCTAAGGCTTTACTGGACAAATTTTCATAATCGACGTCATGCGCTGAAAAATACTGGAGTGTTACTGTCTGCTAATCAGAGCCTGTATGGCCATAATTGAAAAGCACACGACATGCTTTTACCAAGTTAATCGAATATTAGGGATAAATGTTCAAAACCTATTCAAGTAGTGTTTATTCTTCCACTGTATTCAAACAAACGTCATACTATGATTTGCTTGATCACATTGTTTTATGGGACAAAAATTCGGACATAAAGTACATCAGATATTTGTATAAGTACGAAGATTAAATTCTCAAACTAAGTTATGCCAACCACAAAATAACGATTGAGGATATATTTTATTTTGTGCTAGAACATGCTGGAATGTAGTGGAATCATAACAAAGCAACAACAATGTCTTGTGTGATTCAAAAAATATTTATTTTTGCATTACTGCTGTGATTATCAAACCTCTAGTTGTGTTTAACAACAAGGTCAGAGATGGTAACCATGAAGGCAAACGACGTACATTGTGTGGAATTTTCCTTAAAGTACGTTAGTTTTAGTTGTCTACCATGAAAACACTTTAACACAGTGGTTCTTTTGCCAAATATATCGTACGGCTTATATATAAATAATCAAGTGTAATTCATATCTCGACTCGTTCGCGTATCTTACTCGGTTTTCAACAGTCACGATATCCTTTAGTTTACCAAACTTTCATTATAGGCATTCCCTTAATTTAAGTCAGTCATTAGTGACATATCACAATCTGCAAAATATTTTTCGTCATTCCGTTTGCTGATTCAAATTACTTCTCTAAACCGTTCTTAATGAGTCGTCTGAATACGAGATGTCAATACCTTCTAATTATCTCTTTACATTAATAGTGAACAGACAGTCGTCAGTTTAGTTGATTACATAATCTGAAACATAACTTTGAAAACTATTTTTCAATATATTTTTCACCATAGGCACACGCAGACTTGAAGGTCTTCAGTTACCTAGACAGTTATAAAAGTTGAAAATCTAACTGTTTGATGGAATTAACTTTCTCCCAAAAACTGTTTAGCCTTATTTCAATACGATTTGACCGGTACTTACCTGGTTTTTCTCTTATTATTATTATTATTATTATTATTATTATTATTATTATTATTATTACTGTCATTGGTCAACCATGACTACAGAACCATTTTTCGTTAAGTTATATGCCAGTCAGAAGAAAATATTTGACATTTCCTTGTGAATTTAGTCCTTGGGATATGGTAAAAACATAGACATCTTTTTGTTTTAAATGTATATTTGTGTTGGTAACCAAACATGACACTATTGCTGTCTCTCGTGAATGACTGTTTGCCAAGAGTTATCCTATCCTCTAATTATATACACTTCAGCCATATGATTTATTTTCCGTCAACATTTATTCGGCTAACATCAGTCAATCATTAATTTTTCCCTTGTTTCAGAAAAACCGAAGATTGAGCACATCCGGCTGGACCGTGAGAAACCTACAGAAACAATTTTGGATGCTGTCGGAACGCCGACAGATACATATGAAGCTACAGAAGATTATCGACTAGGTTGTAAGCCGGAAGTAACTGGCAGTGAAGCTGTGGCTGTATGGCAAAAAGTGAGTAGTCGCTTTATGTCTTCTGTCATCCTTCTTCAATTGCCTCCTCTCATGACCTTTTCATGTTCGCTTTTTAGTTCACTCAATTTCTTCATCTGTTTTCTTTTTACATCCACACAATCCACCATAATTCATGCAACCAGATATTATCTCACAGTTATGTTTCTGTTAAGTACCACGTCCAGTAAGTAGGAGAAGCTTTTTCTCGGGTTGCTTTAACAATTCTCCGATTGTGTCAACTCAACTTTTCTCAAAACCTTTATTAAAGTATGTATTATTTAAATGAAAATGATAATAGGAAAAATGAACACATGATTTTAATTAAAAGTTTGAAGAAAGGATTACAGCGGATTAAAAGGGATTAAAGACCATATTCACCCCCCTTCAGTTAAAACACCATGTTTACTACAGAACTTGTATTCAGTGGGAAAGTTGCTCTGAAATTTTGGATTGCTCATCAGTTTTGAACATATTTTAGCTAATCTGCTTCAAAAATTTTTTTCACTTAGTCCATCTTCGTCCAATCCAGTAGGTTTTGCGTTATAATGAAAACACTGATGACATTTTTGTTGGTCAAAATATTTACCTTTGCACTGTTGATAATTTTTATCGTTGTTTAGTGTGGAGACGACCAGTGCACCACCGTTGAGGATCTGTTACCAACTGGGGACAAACTATTTCTGTTTGCAAACTCAACCCGGTTCACTGATGAAGGATTGTTCCGGTGTCAAGTCAGCTTGCAACTGAAGGACTATAACTTCAAACTGACTGAGTATAGGAATGTTTTAATCAAACGAAAATGTAAGCAGTAAGATGGTTTTAAAAACGTTTTAAATGAGTAAACGTTGATGTGGACAAGTGCAGTGCAAATTCGTTTAAAGTACACGAATGACATTTTATTTGAACTAACTGAGTTTCAGTTCATCCACTAACTAGTTTGTGAAATATTTATGCCTGCACTCCGTTAACCTATGCAAAGCTGTGTTAATGTGCAGATGGCATGCTATCCGAAAAAGTTGGTCGGATTTGCGTAGCACGTATAAAGAAGCAGTTTTAATCAATTGTTTGCATTTTTTTTAAACACAAAAAGTTGTATTGAACTGTACAAAGCGATTGATTTTTGTTGATCTTGGTAGCGTTCAAATTCGGAAAATCTAAGGGTAACTACTCGATGCACGCGTATTTATTAAAAACGATTCCGCTTAAGATCAATTTACGTATCTGTATCTGTAAAAATCTACTTAATATTCTTGAAGCCGATGTTGGTTATTTTGTTTGCTCTGAAAAAAACTCATAAAACAACCAACGGGCTTCTATAACATGATCATTCACATCAAAGATTGAAATAAGATTACCAAAAATAACTTTGAAAGCCAACTAGAAATTTATCCATTACACAAATCTAAATTCAGTCAACAACCAGGTGCAAGCTTATGCAGCAATTAATTACAGTTGCACAACTGTAACCTCTAATTTCACATAGAAATAAGTGTTTAAAGAGTATCATTTGGTCAGATAACCAGGTTACATGGTTTACTGTTAATCATTTGCTAATTATCTTTCGCATTTTGTAAGGTCACCTTCTCATTATGAATCAGGATAAAGAAGACAATATTCCGATTTCTTGTTATATATGTCCAGACAAATCCTGTTGCGTATTGGTACATATTTGTGCATACAATCGGCCATTAACATTTCAATACGAGAATCAAATTGAAACAACAGAGAAAGCAAACATGTCAGGATTCACAATATTTGTCATTATCTTGCCAACACACAACAGAGATTTAAACAGTAGGCTAGCAACTGTTTCAGCAATGCTGTGTTCGGCTGTGTACCGTTGACTGGTTACACTGGTGTTGCGTCACTAGAACATAACGCGCAGTGCAGGCTCCTTGTTCCTATGTGTGACTGTGACATGATGCGTTGCACGTTATTATTATATGAAACGATAAAATTTGTCACTGTTATACATGTGGTCTCAGCTAATTGTTCAACGCTTGATAAAGCTGAGCATTGATTGATTCACATTACGCAGTTGTCAAGTCTAGCTTCCAGTGAACAAACAGATGCAACGACTGGTCTGTATAGCAGAATCCGGTGTCTTTATTCGCCGTAGGGATGTGTTCCTGCTGTGCGTTTTGGTATAATGTTGTCGCAACCTCAACTCAAGAATTCGATTTTATTATTTTAGCATAATCCAACGAAAAGTCTCTTTGTATAACACAATTTTGACCTCTTTTCTTATTAGTAGTACGTAGTTTGACACACTTATGGTTTTGATGAGACCCAGTTGTGAAAAGTCAGGGCTTCGGCTGGATTCGAATTAGCGACATGAACACCATGCTCAAATGCGAAAAGCGCTCTACCAGCTCAGCTACGAAGCCACGCCAGGAGCTCGGAAATTTCACATTTGAACTCGGTTACCCATCCATCCCATTGTTTTCTATGGAATCCATCAAATGTGGATTTCATTCCATATATAAGACAATGGGACGACTGGGTAACCGAGTCCAAATATAAAATTTCCGGAATCTTCCCGTATGTTTGCTTGACTTCTCCGTCAGATCGATATTTCATGGTGGTCATTCGAACGAAGAACGTCCTTCAGTAACCACATTTCTTCCGTCAGTCAACCTGCTAACACGTATGCGTCATCCAACCAGAGTTCCACTTTGTCAAACGCAGAACACATCTCAAGTCAGACACACAGCAAAAACGATTGCATGACATTGCTTGACGATGGTGTGCACTCGCGTTCAACTGATAAAACTTCTCTCATTCATCATGAACCTCGGTTATGTGACACAAAAGCTTTTCACAATCACGTTACATCTGCTTGGTTTTCTTTTCCTTGTTATCCTTGTTTATTTCCTATCCACGTTTTCATCAGATGTTCGGTTGTTCGTTTAAAGTATAACAGTTGAACGTTTACGACTGAAAATAGCGTAAGAATTAAAATAAGCTGGCAGACTTCATCCTGTCTGAATGTTATCAGATATATGAACGAGGGAGTCTGTTTCAAGTAAACTGTGAATGTTCTATAATTCACGAATTTTTATGAGATTTTCGAAACATTTATGATTGTCTTGTTTCCTAACTGATTTGATGTTAACGAACGCGATCTTGTCAGGATCTCCTAGTCACTATATAGGCTAATAGATGGTGGTTGAACTTTGTCCACTACAGATTTAACAGCGGTTTACATGGGATTGCATCACACACACCTGGGCAGGAAGTTCCTCTGTTCTTTTATAAATAAAACATGTTTCTAAAGGATATCCTTGCCTGGACCGAAATTTAAAATCCCGCCTTCGTATTTGTAAGATAAGTCTATTGAATTCTGGTAGTCCACGTCATATTTAACGCTAGCGGAAAAATGTATCAGCGGTATTCGATGCACTCAGGGTTCTAACTCATAATAATGTGTTTAACAGTCGGCATCGTTATCATCGAGATAGCTTTATTATTCAACAAGGGCTTTGCTTCGAACGTAAAATTAACGGTTTGCAGTCTATTCCATTGCAGTTAATTGTCGAATGGAGACTCTTAGATGAATGAAGTTTAGCTCGTATATTATTGCACCTTCAATATGGTTTGACGATAGCTCAGGTACATTCGAGGATTTGTCGAAAGTGCTTCTATTGTTGTGAACACAATGCAGCTCGATGTTGTTTCATTCTCGTTATAAATCGTAAGCTGATCTACATAGAATGTAAGTCGTATCTGAAAGCCCGGATAGCAGTTTGGCCACAGTATAGTCTAGTTACTACTCGTACTTCTGCTTTAACGGGAACAAATGCACGCAACTTTTAAGTGACAGCAATTCAAGCATTTTTATTTGTGTGTAATTGCCATTGAGGTTGATGTCCACTTACTTTTTCTGTGATAGTGTGGACATATACGAATACCCACCGACGTTCGAAATCGACAAACGACTACCAATCAATACAGACTACGAGAACAGCAAAGAACTAGCCGACGTATTTGTACAGTATCATTGTGAAACGCTAGTATGTCCGTCTGTCCAGCTGATCAAACTGGCTGACTGTGAGCCTATACTAGACAGTCACATTTTCATTGTTTAATTAGGAATATAATTGCTGGGCTGTCTGTGTTGATTAACTCATCACTCATGACAGGCGACCAGATGGAATTGCAAGACTGATAAACGTGTGCAAAAAAGCTGAAACATTAAATTAGAATGGGTGGTTCATTTTTGCTTCTGGCAACCGGGTAGACGTTGATTATCATGTCTTCCGTTTAACATGGCGAAAACCTATTGGAACTGATTTAATGGAACTATGCTGTACAAAGTAATGCTGTTTTGTGCGGCAAAATTATGTTAGGATAGTAAACATTTGGTTAACTTGATCGACCAACCCTTTGAGTTGAAATCTTATTATACTTGTATGTCGCATGCCGAATCGATCGTCTATTGTCAACGTATACAACGTGCCACCATTGATTTATATACTAACATGAACGGCACAGACTAATAGGTGTCACTCCTCACTAAAAATTCGAAGCTACCCTGATGTCTTGGAAATATAAGCATCATATCATCTTCTTTACATCAATCTGATTGGTCAGCTTGACCAAACATGTCCTATCTAGCCATTCGGCACGGAGAGTGAAAAGGGAGTTGGCAAGGGCTAAGGTCTATATTAACCTTCCAGCAGACGACTCAACCTCAGGCTTTAATATCAGAAGACTGGTTTATAAATCTCTAAGCTTTGTCAGTTTACACAGAATCACCAGTTCGATCCATTGGCTAGGCCGTCATCAGCAATTTGAACTAGTTTTATTGAGAATACGCATGATAGGGCCGCTGGACAACGACATCGTTAGTTTACGTTTATCGGTAACAAATGTTTCACATCAAATTACCTACTTCAGAAAGACCAGCACTGGTGGTTGTGAATTACTATTGTGTTATTGTTGGCGCTACCCCTAGCGACATGAGCCTTGCGACATTAATGGTTCGAGTGTCTTGGGTGGTTCACAGAACAAGTGATCTTTACCTAACACTATTAACGGATTGAGAAACTGTTGTGCAGAAATCACTCTGAGTCACTGAACCCCAGAACGTTTGATTCACCGTGCAGCTTAAGAGGGATTAGAAATCATAATGTGGTTACAAGGACGATCGGAAGTATTTTCAGTAAAATTCTCGATTTGTTTACCCTATTAAGATATGTTGTCTTTTTCAGCATATGGATTCATAAGACCAAGTTAGGTGATTAAACATTATCTTCTGGCCAGTTTAAAAAAATACTTAAAATGGCTTGGCCTGATTAGCCGACTAATCAAAAGGTTTAGAATAACGATCAATGAAATGGACACCACGTTCCCGATCAAACCACTCGGACAACATTATGGTTTTTTAACGACGGTAACTAACCATTTGAATATGAAGATCTAGTCGAGACAAGTATGGTGTAAACAGAATGATAATCAACACAATCGTATGAAAATCGTGTCAACGGAAGTTTTAATTTCCGTCCGGATGAGGATATGCACGATCGATAGAGTCTTCTAAGATGAGCAAGTGTTAGGGTCAACTGCATCTTTTCAAAATGAGCAAGCGGAAAGTTTGTCCCGATATGGAAACTTCAAGAAAGTGATAAAATATTCACCCATTTAGAGTGAGTCAAGTTTATCACTAAATGTTGTGCAACATTTTATGATCGTGAATTCTTTTATGGTCAGTTATAACTCAATACACCTCTTCGTGGAGAGTTGCAAGTATTCGTTATAGACACGAGTCAGTCACGTCATAGTTGGTAAGAGTGGCTGCGTTAATTTGGAAACTTCAAAGTAATATAATTTGTGACTATACAAACGTCAGATTATGGAATAAAAACGTGAGGACCTACCGTGATTTTCAGCACCTTTGTTTGTACTTATTCAAGTAACAGTACAATTTTAAGTTCAAAACGGTTAAACATTAGGTCGTTCATTTTACCTTCCTTCATAGCACGAGTATAGATGAGGTAAAAATTGATCAAATTTTGAACTGTTTCGGGACCGAGGTAACAGATAATTCCCTAAAAAATACGTACTATTTTGAGGTAGTGGGCAAGGCTGTATGACCGAAAAATATAGCAAAGTATGACAGGAAGTTTGAGATACGGAGTCTTACGAACGATCTTTGTTAACACTGGTCACCAACACGATCATTATCGTTTCTGTACGATTTGACCAAGCTAGTCAGCTCACGAAGCTAGCTCATTGCTAAATGATCACTGCAATAAATCCGTAATCATCACTGAATAATTGACTTACATGAGTGGCATTATTGAAATCCTTTAGGTCTATCTGAAACGAAGAAGACCATCTGAAAAGAAGCCAGCATTGAGTTTCAGGACATGTTTTACCCTTTTGTGAAAGGTTATCGTATATTATCTCGTCCTTGAGCTTTACGAAATAGCCATCCGAACTCGATTCGTGGTGAACGAATAATTGTTACGCTGTTTCGAATTGGAAATTCTATCGTAAGTTACATGTATATTGTGTGCAACATCACTCACCTTAATCACTTTTTTGTACAACTGACTTCAGCGGCACCCGCGATCTATAGCAGTGATGCGATCGCCTACACAGTCAATGATGAAATGTCACTTCAGTGCACAGATGAAGCATCCTCCCCTGAATCTACAGTGGAGTGGAAATTTGAACCATTGGGCACAACACCGACAGAACGTAAACATCCTATTCGTCTGGGGAAAACATACGCATATGGCCGCATTTACATATTTGCGTAAGTCCCATATCTTTTTTCTTCTATCTGTTGGATCCACCAAGACATTTTTTTCCAAATGTGATTACAGACCAGTCAAAAATACACGCACCAGATACTAATTCCCAGTTCCCAATCCACCTATTTAAATCCACGTAAGGAATAAACCATATTTATGTTTTAAAGTAAATCTGGTTTTCTACTGACATTTCACATTATACGTATGATCTATCGCCTGCTGTGATCTGGTATCAATTCACCATCTTTTCACTACCGTTTTTTCTGGAACAGCTCTCCAGTTATCATCTTGAGTAGAGAATGCAAGCTTGTCTTAGTAGTCTGCCCCGGTCAGGCGTCATTACCAGCTCAAACATGCGAATTAACCGTACTTGAGTATTATGTGTTTAAACCGCCATGCCAATTTGCCAGTTCAACATATCACCTTCTAAGTTAACAACATCGCGCAGGCCCAGTTTGGAGCAATAAGCAATTTGGTGGCAACTTTCAAATCGTTCTACAGGTGTTGTTGTCTGCACAGAAATCACACTTTCAACATCATACGTTTATAAGTGGAGATGTTCTGTCTAGAAAGGTTTTGGCTGTGAAATTTGTGGGCCGTAAAACCGTTCTCTTATGGGGTATGTT